GTTTTATGGCTATTAAGAAAAAAATTATTTTAGTAGTTTTGCACTAACATGCTAACCTTTCCTTTCTGGGTATATTAGGTAATAAAAGCTTTAAGCGGACTATAGTGCCTTTCTTCCAAAGTGCAGGATTTTCTCTCTACATCAGTTCTAGATGATATCTGTGATCAAAGGGACATATACTGTTCATACGCTTCCTCTGTACTTCAGAACTAGGGGTGACCTGGAGGGTGTATAAGTGCCCTTGTGTGGTTGCCTGGAAACTTTGGCCCACACAAGTGTCAACTTTCTTTCATGGTTATAAAGGAAGACTGAGCCTCACAGAGAGCTTTAGTCTTAGAGAAAAAAGGTCCTTGTGTGTTTTAAAACAAGTGTCTCACCAGGAGATAATGGTAGAGCAGTGAGTTATAAATGATGTATTTTGTTCACTTCGCCTTGATAATGGCACAAGGGAAAAAAAGTTCATCGCTCCCTTATCAAAATACTGTGACATTTCTCCTTCAACTGTAAAATTTCCTATCATAGTCCTCTGCTGCAACAGCAACTAAATTTACTCGATTGTAAAGACTACATAATCTTTCATCAAAGGTGTCTTTTTTATTCTTTCTTTTCTCCCTATTCGTATTTTAGGAGAATCACCAAGGTTGCTAAAATCACTGTTTCTCCAATGAAATACATTTACTTTTAAGGAGTTTATATATTAGCTAGTAACTACTATACCATGCCAAGTAGAGTGTTACTCTATCTTGACCAAAGGCAGTATGCCATTTTTTTGTCATATCTTTTTATACTGACTGCATTCTTTATTGATGATGTTCTATTTTTAATGAAGAAAAACATAAATAAAGGCAACTACTAATGGCTGAAGACGAAAAAACACTGAAAAGCTGTTGGGCTTCTTTCTTGAGTGGCGACTTATTTTCAGTAAGTACAGATTCCTGTTTGATACAATGGGTGACATTTTTATTCTTGCAAACAAATATCATTCTATAACATGTACAGCTTATGAAAGCATAGATGTATACCTTCTTCTCTGTGCAACACGCACATGTAAGTTTTTGTTTGCCATCTCTCCAAAGTATGGTTCTCGAAATACATGTCTCTCTAGTTTGTAAGGTTACAGTTCCCTCAGACGGGAATGTCAGTGCAAATGCAGTCATGCTGCTTGGGGCCTGTTTCCTATATGCCTGTTCAAAGCAGACTGACATAAATGGAAAGTGACATCAGTGGGTTTTGGACAACTTAGGTCTTTGTCCAGTGCAGGCTGCCAGGATTCTGCTACATGCTGTAGACTATATTTCATCTGTGGAAGTTAGTATGAAACAAAGATACAACTACTTATAAAACTATAGAAAACTGTAACCACAAGGGATTTTTCTGTCTGCGTGGCTGTAAATGCAAAAGTCATGAAGTGTTTACATTCAAATTATATGCCCATTTGCATTTTAAAACTTTTTACTGTAATCATACTAAGGGTATTGAAAAATCAGTAAGGAGATTCTTAACATTGTAAACTAGTTCAACCATGCATTTTTTGCCCACATCCCATGTTTCTGTTATGGTTACATCAAGGAAAATTGCAGAACTGTGGCATATTGTTATAAATAAATAAAATATTAACAAATATAAATAGCATTGGTAAGATGCATAGGTAAATCTCAAGATGGAAACACAGCTGAGAGAAAATCACAGCTTACTTTGCTTGGGGACGGTAGCTTACAGTCCAAACTGCAAGCACAAAAATGTTTTGTTTCTTCTAAGAGAGCGAATATTGAAGAACCGTTATAATGCTAATAGTATGATTGACTCCTTATAATGGATCCTGCTCAGAGTTATAATGTTCTCAGAATTAATCTCCAGAGACATCTAGAGGATATGTGACATTCCCTGCAGGACTTGGAGCTGTGTACTTCAATAATAGATTTTTAAAAATAAGTTTAAAAAAAAAAAAAAAAAAAAAAGCTTACTCTAATTATGTCAAACTGCCCCAATACCAAATGACAATGTGGATAAAATCCATATATATGTGTAACTGCGTTCTGTGCTTGGCATGCAAATATTCTATTTCAGCCAGTTGTGACTTTTTGATATTTTAGAGAAGAGTTTACTACTAACTGGATTGTCCTTTGGGAGAAATTAAAATTGGAGCAGTACAGGGATATGAATATTTTATGATATATATGATGGTGAGGTGAAACTGAGGATAAGTGAGAGTTTATTTGATATTACATACTTCTTTTCCTTGTTCACATGATAATATATGGGAACATGAATAATATATGGGAATATATTGTCTTTAATCATACTCTTTTGAAATATAAGCTTATGGATGGACTGTTTGTGAAGAGTAAGACAACGTTTTCATATTTTTCAAGAGAAAGAACAACCATCTGTTACATTCGAGGAACTGTAAAGTATATTTTTATGTCAACTGCACTTTTATTAATTAACAATACAACTCAAGAAATGCTTTTGGTTCTAAAATTACTTTTACATTTTTATTAGCTGAAACTCTAAGATTACATAGTAATTGAGTTTTTATTTGAGTTGGAAAGGTCAGTGAAAATTATTGGTGTAGCTAAGAAATCTCCCATTGCTTTGCACAAGTAGGCTTTGTTTCGCAGAGCTAGGATCAGTGGTACAATGTGTTCAAATATCAATCTGTAATTATGATGAAATCGTCTGGAAATGTTGTGCACATGGCATTGTGCAAAATTTACAGTGAGGAAAAGAGGCCTGCCATAGGCCTACCGAATTGACCCGCAGCCCTAGGATATAACACCAAAAATCTACAAATGTTTTTCATTTGAAAATCTCAAAAAATATTGAAATGGGTTTATACTTCCTGCAAATTATACAAAGTATCTTAACTTCTATAGTTGCAATATTTGATTGCCATTTCCAGGCTCTGCAGTATGGAGCGGAATGAGGGGAAGCTCAAGCAATCACATTCTGGAATATTGAAAACATGAGCTTTATCATGCTTGCAAAGGACGTGTATTAACTGACAACATGTAAAAATCTTTAAATTAAAATTAAAAGGCTGTGGTAGATGTAGCAGCCTCATAGTCTTACTGTGTGATGTTTCCTGATTGTATAATAGCTACTTAAGTGGTCTTTGATTCCAGTTGCCAAAATTTAAACAGAGACTAAATCTAAGTAAACTATCACACTTGTGATGGATCAGTGGCGTTAAACATGGTTCAAGGACTTGGCAGAGAACCCAAAACTCCTAATACAATAGACGGGATGTCAGAATAGCCTTGGCTTACCCTTCCAAATGCATAGCTGAATGAGAGGAGAACAGCAGGTGTCACCAGGAGGAAAGAGGTAGGTCCTTTTCATGAACAGATACGCCTAGACAGGCCTAAATGTAGATTGATCGGTGTATTGTTACACTGCATTTGATGATGTTATTTATTTCAAGTGGTTAAGACCCAAGAAAGAGTAATCTGCAGGGCATTCTTACCAGGGTATCGGTGAAGGATACTCATCAATTTGGCAGTGTGAGCTGCAGAAAATATGTTGTGTCAATCTTTCACAGACTATATAGTCTCTTCATTTGTTTGGCTGTTCAACACAAAGTGGTGATTTAAAGGTGGAATTTACTTTATTAATTTTTATTATTTGCTTTATTTTTTATTTGCCACTACAGCAGCTGAAATTACTGATGGTCCCGAGAATATGAAAAACATGAGACTGTAGAAATGCACTGACAGTGGAAAGCTTTTGTTTCTGGAACCGCCCTTCCTATACTAGCTCTTTTTGAAACAAATTTCTTAGTGTTCAGAGCAAGGCATCAAACTTCTACCATTTGCAAAAATAATTTGTTTTAAGGGCTTACATTATTTTTTCCAATGATTTGTAAAAAAGTGTACAATGGCTAGAGACTATACTGTGGGTGCTTTTATGATGCGGAGATGAGGAGAGATGACAGATCTTGCCAGGCAAAAATATTTATCTTTTTCTGATAGAGCTCTAAAATTCATGAGTCAATACTAAGAAAAATATTTAATATGCTTAAATTTTAATAAAATATTTGATGAACTGTTCTACACAGTCTTATTCTTCAAACTCATTAAATCTAACTCTGTGGACATGAAAACTCCATACAGGTTAAAATTAGCCGCAGTACTGTAAATACCTGGCAATCTCTAAACTACAGTTTATCAAAATTTTTGTGGAGAAGCAAGTTGCATGTTGCCATAACTGATTATGATTTTGAAGACAGGGATGAAGAGCATATAAATGAAAATTTAGAAGTAATTGCAAAGGTCATTGAAAGAAAAGTCATGCAAAGATACCTAGAATGGCTAACTGTGAAAGGAAAAAATGAGTTTTGACCTTAGAAAAACATAAATAATCCATATAGAGAAAAACTTTTGAAAATATTAATATTGAAAAATAATAAATTACACATGTATTTGTTAAGGATTTTGAATTGAATAAGGGGAAAGTCAAGATACTTGTTCCTATTTGAGCTGCATACAGTTTTACTAGAATTTTTAGGTCTATTTGCTGTCAAGTGGACCCACATGGCGAATTACATTTTACCAGCATATTTCTATATCAAGTACTAAAACAGTGAAGGACTTTAAGAGGAAAGTAACAAAAGTAAGGAAGATTAAGAAAAGAGTTTCTAAAGATTGTATATACAGTACACAGTATATTGACTAAGTACTGAGTGTATTAAATAAAACTAGCTATTACTTAAATTACTTTTTGTTATTATCTGCAACTGAACTCTTCATTTCTTGATCTCTCACAAACAAGTTAGTGGCCCACGAGCAGTAAGCACCGTTACCTTGGCCTCAGAAAATCTTTTCACGTTAAAAAGCTGCTGATGAAACTTGCATCTGGTTCTTCACATAGGACTGATGATTTGCTCTGTGGAGTAAGAGTGTATGCAGCTGTGGAGCCCTGTTCTTTAGTATAAAATAGTTTTGTGTGCAGATGAATAAAGGGAAATTTTAAAAACTTACCATTCCTATCTGCTCTGCCAGTTCAGCTCTGCAGGAAGGGAGAGAGCAGGAACAAGACGCAGCTTCAGAAATGGGATGCAAGGAAAATACTAGAGGAGAAGAGTTTGGCTGTTTGGATTTGCAGCTTAGTGAACCAGGAGTCTGGAGCATGAAAACCTTGTGATGTTGGGAGACTGAGGGGTAGGTGACCTTGAATGATGCGGAGGAGGTGTTTGTAAGGCAAAGGTTCTGGCGCCTGAGGTTGCAAGGTCTTTGGTACTACTAGGGTAATCAAAGTATCAGGTAATGAATCAAGTAATGAATTTTAGGATTCTCTAATACTGACTGGGTAGAAACCAGAAAAAAGGTCTGTGGAGGTGAGACTTGAACTGAAGGAGAAGAAAGAAGAAAACCAGAAGACCTTTTTAAAAAAAAAAAAAAAAAGGGTGGGGGGGAATGATGCTCTGCATAGTGGGAAGTGGGTAGGAACATTTTGGTTTATTGTATAAATAAAAGTTTATACTTGTAACAGTAAGGAGGTTTTGATAGTAAGAGGTGTGTTTTGTTGAAAGAAGCAACATTAGCTGCAAAAAAAAGAGAAGGGAACAGATAAGAAATGAAGCCAGGAAATGTAGGAACACACATGTCTTATTCCTGCTTAATGTGTGTACACAAACATGCACATATATGCGCATGCACACCCACACACAAGCTCCCAAGGAAGAGGAGAAAAGTTACTGGAGCCCCCACTAAGTTGCTTCTTTCTTCCTCCTACACTTCCTTTCATATGTATGTAATATGGAGATACAGAGGTGGGGCAGGGTCAAGTAGCCCATATAACCCTTCTCTTCATCCCCCTTTCTGGCCCATGGTCTCTGATTTACAATGTAATCATGTTCTCTAATTAATAATGTGCAGCACAGGAGAAAGAAAATCACCTACCATGGAGAAATTATGTTATAAATTTAAGGGTTTGGAAATATGAACATGCTGTTGTGGGATAACAATTTCCATACATTGTCTAACCCTTGATAACTCTCCATTAGTGTATTTTATATCATGATATTCAGAGTGATTTGCTTGCCTCAGCGTAGTCCTTTGACAAACATTCACGTAGCCAGCCTCTGTTTTCCCTTCTACAAGTTACAAGCCTCAAACACATCACATATCTGCATGTAGTGTCTTTAGCAAAGAGATTTAAAGCCTCAAAAATGTCATTGTGCACAGGAGGTGTGCAGGGTGTATGAGATAAAATAATTGGTAGCAACTCTTCTTTATAGGTAAGTGAAGGCCAACACAGCAGTTTAAACCCTAGAGTCCTGGGGCAGAACCCAAGAAAATGTTCTGTTAGCAATGCCTTTTGGTAAGTGAGTAGTATAAGTGAACTTCCGTATGATCTTTTTTTGGTGTAATTGTTATGACCTTAAACATGTGAAAGGAGAGAAAGCAGTAATATAAAAAACATAATGACTGGAATTTGTTGACATTTTTTCTTTTAAAATATTTGCACATGTTGAATGTTACACATTAAAGTGGATCTTAGGAAATACATCATTGATTATGTTATTGTAAATCATTTGCAGGTGAGAGATATTTTGTATTATTACTTGTGCAGAGTCCAACACTCATGAGATAAAAAGGCCAAATTGGAATTTCACTTGATGGAGTCCTGCACATCAGATACCCTCCTATCTGGGGCTGCCAGTAATGCAGCAGAAATGCCAAAATGAGAGGTATTAGGTAGAAAACTCACAGCAGCCTGCTTTTCTGGAACTGGACAAGATGAATCAGGTAATCATTTGCATATATGTATATGTATAGTGTCAGCATTGTGGTGTTGAATACAGGTGACATGGCTTTCTTCTATATGGGAACTGATTTTTTTTTTTCTCTTACTCTAATTCACAGACCTAGTGCAACAGAAAAGTCAAGCTTGCATGAAGAGGGGCTGAAGATTGTCAGGTATGTCTGAATGACAGTGCCTGAATCACAAGACTATAACTATAATAGGAACACTTTAAATGTTCATGTACTTTCTGGAATTCCCATTGCCTCTAGCATTGTTCTCCATTATAAATACAGATTTTTATTGCTATTTTTTTGCTGGAATTATTATGTCTTCAACTTCTGCAAACATTTTAAGGATCTCTCCTGTAAAACAAAAAAGTATACAAACAAAAAAGTAGGTGGACCAAGGGGAGAACAACAGCTGTGAAGTTATCCTCAGCTTATTCTTTGTACATGCTTTTGTATCATTAAAATGACTATGATACAGCAGTTGGCAGAATATGACTTCTCTTAGTTTCAAGCAGATAGTGCCAGGAAAGTGAACAGAGACATGATATACAGAGTCTAATTTATCATACTATTTTTCTGCCTATGAAGCCTGAAACAGTGAAGTGTTTAGGTTGAAATACTGATCAAATTCGCTGTTTCTAGAGGATAGCTTTCAGGTTCAGTGGAATGGAGTGGGAATCAACGAGCTGTTAAGCTGTCAGTAGCTGTCAAGCTGTTGGCATCCCAAACTGCTGGAAAAAAAAAAAAAGAAAACTTTTTCTGTGCCTAGAACACAAACACTTTCTTCCAGAAAATGTAGGTAACAGAGCTACAACAGAATCCTTAATTTTTTGGGAAAAAGTTTTGTAATTATGAAGCCATTCCAGTGATGTGAAAATCAAATTACAGCTTTTAGAATTTAAATTTTTCAGAATACACTCAATTCTAAAGCAAATCTTTCAGTTGATCTTTAAAGAGGCCCATTAATGTCTTCCACCTCTTCCATCCCACTGTCAAGCTGAGGAAGCTGAGGCTATTTCCTTGTGTGAGTGGTGTTCATTGTAAGGGTCAAAGCGTTCTGATGTAATGAATGTTATATATGTGTTGGAAATTACCACTAATTTCCTCTATGTTTTTCTTTGCAGAGCCCACAATCATCATCCTAAAATATTCCAGAGAAAATCATTACAGAATT